ACTTTGCATGATAGATAGGCAAGATGTAAAAAGAAAAAAAAGGACATGAGAGAAATGTTGCTTTACAAACCTTACAACATAATAAAAAAATTAGATATTTTGCACATAAAAGCATTGTAATATTTGCTGATAATCTGCCAGATTTTGTTAACGTTTGCATACTAATGTAAAAGTTATAGCATAAAAACTATAACTAGCAGAAAATGGTTATGAGATCATCACATTGGCCGACCCCGTATTGTAAGAGTTAAATTACAGGTTATGCTGTTGTTCTTCCAGCAGTAAATAAACTTTAAGGAACTGATAGTGTGCAGAATTGGAATTTGATTATCATGATGTCCATTTCTTTTAACAGTCAGTTTTACATATTAGATGATTCTACTTTTGTAGAAATTATAAGTACTCCCACTGCTTACCTCCATGAATGTGTGGGAATCTGTCTAATAGTGCTGCCCACATCAAGGCTAAGCTTTAAGTCTGAAGGCTAAGCTTTAAGTCTGAAGGCTTAAAACATCCAAGAACAGATTTTGATACTTATATCAGATACAACATAGATAGCCCATTATGTAGCTTTGTACTTAATAAAAAAAACAAAACAATGTAACATTTACAGTAGAGATAAAATACTATATTTTAGTTTTAAAATTTTCACTTAAAACCAACTCTTACCAGAAGAATTCCACTGCCCTTGGATACAGACACTGAAAAGACATGTGATTGGTACTGATTAAACTAGTATTCTCCCCACAGAAACTGTAACATAACATAATGTTTAGGGACCTATTGGTCCATCTAGATTGTTCTGTTCCTTAAACTAAACTATTAAATAAATAAATAATAACTAATACCCTCATTCATATAGTTATCAAGCTTTCTCTTGAACTCACTTAAATTTACTGCCTCTGCAACATGTGAAGGCAACTCCTTCCAAAGGGGCAACCACCCTTTTAGAAAAATAAAACTGTCTTAGCTGAAGGTGACTCATACTCTGCCAAATTTTATACTTGTG